TCAAGCATCTCTGTGTGAGTCTATGGCTCTCTGTGTAAGTCTATGGTTCTCTGTGTGAGTCTATGGGTCTCTGTGTGAGTCTGTGTGAGTCCATGGATCTCTGTTTAAGTTAATGGATATCTGCGTAAGGCCATCTGGGTCTCTGTGTAAGTCTATGGGTCTCTGAGTAAGTCTATGAGTCTCTCTGTGAGTCTGTGTGAGTCTATAGGTCTCTGTGTGAGTCTATGCGTCTCTGTGTCAGTCTATGGGTCTCTGTGTGAGTCTGTGTGAGTCCATCGATCTCTGTGTGAGTGAATGGATCTATGTGTAAGGCCATCTGGGTCTCTGTGTGATGGTATGGATTTCTGTGAGTCGATGGGTCTCTGTGTAAGTCTATGGGTATCTGTGTAAGTCTATGAGTATCTCTGTGAGTCTGTGGGTCTCTGTGTTAGTCTATGGGTATCTGTGTGAGTCTATGGGTCTCTGTGTGAGTCTGTGGGTCTCTGTGTCAGTCTATGGGTCTCTGTATGAATCTATGGGTGGATTGTCATTGCCAAACGTGTTGAGTAATTTTTTTATAAATATCCTGTACTGGTTATAATACATATTTGCAATTCACGATTCCGCCAATAGGTGTCCCACCCTTACAATGGAAGTTAAAAGAGTTCTGTAGACACAAATAATCCGTCAATTACAGGCGTAGTCTAGCGATAAATAAACAAGCCTAATAGCCCATTAAAGACGCATTTCGCCGCTCTCCATGATAAATCATGCATCCGTCAATACGAACTAAATATATAATATATACGACGTTTCCGGTAATGGGCCTTCTTCATAGCACTTACTGGAATTGGATTTTCGTGAACTTGATTGTTGTTGATTTTTGTCGTCTTCTTCTTGTGCGTGTTTTCAATAATATTCATTCCACAGGTGCTCCCTCCACTTCTAAACATTCGACTCGCGAACTTTCGGAGATACGAACAAACCTGTCCGTATGTCATGAAGATGCCACATGAAAAACCAGTGGCATCTACATCTGCAGAACATGAAGAGCCAGTGGCATCTACATCTGCAGAACATGAAGAGCCAGTGGCATCTACATCTGCAGAATGTGAAGAACCAGTGGCATCTACATCTGCAGAACGTGAAGAACCAGTGGCATCTACATCTACAGAACGTGAAGAACCAGTGGCCTCTATATCTGCAGAACATGAAGAGAGCGTGGCATCTACATCTGCAGAACGTGAAGAACCAGTGGCATCTACATCTGTAAAACGTGACGAACCAGTGGCATCTACATCTGCAAAACGTGAAGAACCAGTGACATCTACATCTACAGAACGTGAAGAACCAGTGACATCTACATCTACACAACGTGAAGAACCAGTGGAATCTGCATCTAACGAACGTGCAGTGGCATCTACATCTACAGAACGTGAAGAACCAGTGGAATCTACATCTGCAGAATGTGAAGAACCAGTGGCATCTACATCTGGAGAACGTGAAGAACTAGTGTCATCTACATCTGCAGAACGTGAATAACCAGTGGCATCTACATCTACAGAACATGAAGAACCAGTGGCCTCTACATCTGCAGAACATGAAGAGAGCGTGGCATCTACATCTGCAGAACGTGAAGAACCAGTGGCATCTACATCTGCACAATGTGAAGAACCAGTGGCATCTACATCTGCAGAACGTGAAGAACCAGTGACATCTACATCTACAGAACGTGAAGAACCAGTGACATCTACATCTACACAACGTGAAGAACCAGTGGAATCTGCATCTAACGAACGTGCAGTGGCATCTACATCTACAGAACGTGAAGAACCAGTGGAATCTACATCTGCAGAATGTGAAGAACCAGTGGCATCTACATCTGGAGAACGTGAAGAACTAGTGTCATCTACATCTGCAGAACGTGAATAACCAGTGGCATCTACATCTGCAGAACGTGAATAACCAGTAGCATCTACATCTGGAGAACGTGAATAACCAGTGGCATCTACATCTGGAGAACGTGAAGAACCAGTGGCATCTACATCTGCAGAACGTGAAGAACCAGTGTCATCTACATCTGCAGAACGTGAAGAACCAGTGGCATCTACATCTGCAGAACGTGAAGAACCAGTGGCATCTACATCTGCAGAACGTGAAGAACCAGTGGCATCTACATCTGCAGAACGTGAAGAACCAGTGGCATCTACATCTGCAGAACGTGAAGAACCTGTGGCATCTACATCTGCAGAACGTGAAGAACCAGTGGCATCTAGATCTGCAAAACGTCAAGAACCAGTGGCATCTACATCTGCAGAACGTGAAGAACCAGTGGTATCTACATTTGCAGAACGTGAAGAATCAGTGGCATCGACAGGAGATTATACAACTTTTAAAGCGTGTTTAGTGTACATGCTGTACAACATTTGTAGTAAAGTTGGACAAATCGACTTACGAACAGACCCTCTGGAACCTAACGGAACCTAACTCGTTCGTAAGTAGAGGAGTCCTTGTGCAGCTCTATTTTAGTAGTCATCTGTGCTTGAATGTTCGTGTTTGTGATTTACAAAGCGTTATTCTCCAGGCTATAAGACGCACCGGAAAGTAAGAGGCACCCCAGAAACGCATCCCCGGTGTCAATAACAGTACACAGAACTGTTCACGCAAAGACAAAGACAACCCATATAGCCTGTAACAGACTGTAGGGGCAAGTGCTGTTAGCGAGCACCTGTGAAGGCCGGAACGGAACACGAGGGGGTGGGTGGCCAGAACCACGCCCGGTCGCCTTTGTCTCCCTAGTGGCGATGTTTTTTTTTACGCACCATATCAGATACTCATTTGAGGCCGAGTAGACCTAGGGGAGGCCCAGATAATCGTCACCGGTGTTGGCCGAGATCAGAAATCAAACCCGGGTCGCCGGGTTTGCAGCGCTGCGTAGCGCCAACCGCTGTGTCACCGCTCCCCACAAACACCACGCCAACACACACACACAGTGACACGTGCCTACTGGATTATAAGATGTACTCTCTGACAGCGAGAGCGGGCGAGGGGGTGTGATGGGGAGTCGTGCGTCTTATAGTCCGTATGTTGAGAGTCTAATGAATGTATCTTTACGGCAACTGGTGCCTCTGGGGAGACAATATGCACAATAAACTCTGCGAATGTTCACGTGTATTTTGTCCGCTCCTCGATCAAAATCACTACAAATCTAAACACAAACTCATCACGTGGTCAAATGTCTTCCGTTTTTTTTAAATTTTATTTTTAAACCGACCGTTCCCAGCGCTCGTTATTATTGGCTTCGGTCCAGCAGTGGATAGATCCCGGCCGATCATTATTAGAATGAACGACGACGATTTGCGTTCACGTATTTTGATGCCGACATCAGACGTTGGCTTGTCTCAGCCGAACGCAGTCGTCGTTCAACGCGATGCACACCGTAGCCCTCGCTTAGGCCACGTGCGCGTTCTCGTCTCGGCATGAGCACCACCACCACCACACACCCCCCCATTGCCATCCCTCCCTCCTGCTCCTCCTCCTCCTCCACACGTGAACTCCCACCGGTATCACTCGCACACCGTCACCGCATCCTCCCCACACCGCGCTCCACCGACTCCCCTTCACCACAGGGCCCGCATTCGATGCCTCTGTTTGCGCTCGCTGGGTTCATGCGCTTTCTCTCTTGCTATGAGTATTAACCCCCCCACACACCCCACACACACACACATGTTGCTCCTGCTCCTACACCTCCCACGTCAACTAACAACCACATCACCACCACCCATCCACCCACCACCATCGCTAACACGCCCCTCCTCCCCACGTCAACTCCCACCCAAACCACCCACCAACACCACCCCCCACCCACCAACACCACGAACACGCCCCTCCTCCCCACGTCAACTCCCACCCACCCACCAACCCCACCCACCAACACCCCCACCCACCAACACCACGAACACGCCCCTCCTCCCGACGTCAACTCCCACCCACCCACCACCCCCACCCACCAACACCCCCACCCACCAACACCACGAACACGCCCCTCCTCCCGACGTCAACTCCCACCCACCAACCCCACCCACCAACACCCCCACCCACCAACGCCACGAACACGCCCCTCCTCCCGACGTCAACTCCCACCCACCCACCACCCCCACCCACCCAACACCCCCACCCACCAACACCACGAACACGCCCCTCCTCCCCACGTCAACTACCACCCACCCACCACGAACTTCCCCTTCCTCCCACCACCGCATTGGCCAAGGCAAAAGAACAAAAAAATCGCTCCTCCTGCATCCTCCATCGCCCTCCCTCCACGCGTCCTCTGCGCGTTCTCAGCCGTTGCGCGCAGTGGCTCCTCCTCCTCCTCGCTCGCTCATTGCAGCGAATCGCCGTGCGGGAAACTCGAGGTGGTGGGTAGTTGGTGGTGGTGGTGGGTGGACGGACGGGTGGGTGGGTTGTTGCTTCGGTGGTGGTTGTTGTGGTAGTGGTGGTGGTGTGTTGAGGTTTGTTGGGTTGGGCCACCATCCATCCACACCCCCCCTCTCTCTCTCTCACCATCGCTGGTGAATCAGCGAGGGGGTTTCTCTTCCCTTAGTCTTGACGCCCAGATAGGTTTTAGCAGCGCGCCTTTGCCACGCAACGGAGGGGGAAAGGGGAGTGTGCGAGATCGAGAGAGATCGAGAGGCAGACAGAGCGAGCCACAGAGAGAGAGAGCGAGAGATAGAGAGACAGAGAGAGAGATCGAGAGACAGAACGAGCCACAGAGAGAGAGATCGAGAGACAGAGAGAGAGATCGAGAGAGAGAGATCGAGAGAGAGAGAGATCGAGAGACAGAACGAGCCACAGAGAGAGACAGATCGGGCCACAGAGAGACAGAGATTGAGCCACAGAGAGAGATCGAGCCACAGAGAGACAGAGATCGAGAGACAGATCGAGCCACAGAGAGACAGAGATTGAGCCACAGAGAGACAGATTGAGCCACAGAGAGACAGAGATTGAGCCACAGAGAGACAGATCGAGCCACAGAGAGACAGAGATTGAGCCACAGAGAGACAGAGATCGAGCCACAGAGAGACGGAGATTGAGCCACAGAGCAAGAGAGAGAGAGGGGAAACACGGCGAGACAACTCGACACGCCAGAGCACTATTTTGTTTTTCCCTGTGGTGGTTGGACGATCTCTTTTTTTTTGCCTGCCGCAGTTAAAGAGATTGAGAGGCCGGGGGGTGGGGGAGAGAGAGGGAGGCAGGTTCATTGGTACATTTGCTTTGCGTGTGTGTGGTCGCTTATATCACCGCTCCACACGCCACCACCACCACACTTTGTACACCGTGCCGCTTTACAACAGCCACGCCAGAACGCCGGACTTTGCCGCTCTCGCTCCAAGCTTCCGTGTTGAGCACGCTTCGGCGTGGTAAGGAACACGTCGCGGAACGTCGGACGAGAGAGAGAGAGAGAGCTCGAAGCATTTGCGGGAGTGGTGGGAGGGTTTGTGGCGATAATCGAATCAGCCACATAGAAGAGAGCGACACACACAGTGACACACAGAGAGAGAGAGAGACATAGAGAGACACAGAGACACACACACAGCGCCTAGCTATCGAGCTGTCTAAAAAAATATATATTTAAAAAACCGCCACAAAGACAGAGAGACTTGCCCATTCTCGCCCTTTTTAACAGCCTGGTCGGGCAGAGCTCTGCGAGTCGAGCCACCTGAACGCACACACGGAAAGCCACGGGCGTTCAGGCGCAGCTTAACACAGCAAGAAGCGCCGAACGAGAAGAGCACCACCAGCACCATCACCACCACCACCAAACAACCAACCCCACCATCGCCATCATCATGGCTGATACCATGGACGAATTCTTTGAAAATCCAAATCGCTTCGCGCGCAAGGGAGCCCTGAAGCAGAAGAACGTCCACGAGGTGAAAAACCACAAGTTCATCGCCAGGTTCTTCAAGCAGCCCACCTTCTGCAGCCACTGCACCGATTTCATCTGGTGAGCGAGCCACAGCACCCAGCCACTCACCCAGCCACTCACCCAGCCACTCACCCAGCCACTCAGCCACCCACCCAGCCACTCACCCACCCACCCAGCCACTCACCCACCCACCCAGCCACTCACCCACCCACCCAGCCACTCACCCACCCACCCAGCCACTCACCCACCCACCCAGCCACTCACCCACCCACCCAGCCACTCACCCACCCACCCAGCCACTCACCCAGCTACCCAGCCACTCACCTAGCCACTCACCCAGCCACTCACCCACCCAGCCACTCACCCACCCAGCCACTCACCCACCCAGCCACTCATCCTACCCAGCCACTCACCTACCCAGCCACTCACGCACCCAGCCACCCAGCCACTTACGCACCCAACCACTCAGCCATACAGCCACTCGCCCACCCAGCCAGCCACCCACCTCCACCCATCAACACAAAAATGGATGTAACAAATTATCACGTTCAAGCGAGATTTTGGGGGTTTTTACCTTCCCTCTAGAACTTCTCGCTGCTGTCGTGGGGTTTTTGTTGTTGTTGTTTGCATCGTTTGTTGTGCTGTTATGACCCCCCCTCCCCCCCCAATGGACACGTGTGTGGGGGGGGGGGGAGAAAACACACAACCAAAGAGCTTTATAGCTCATCGGATTTCTCCCGCAGCATAACCATTCTGATTTTGTAACAATAGGGTGGTTGTATTCTGTTCAAATATATATTATATATTGTTCAAAGAACCTATCTACGTGACTTGACCGCAAGACCCAACGAATATGAATTCCTGCAGTCACGAAAGCTTTAAGTCAAGATTTGATGGGGTGGGTTTTTACCCTTCGTGGCATGAAAACAATTGCGTTATAAGATGTTAAAACGACAAACAGAATCATTAAACACGCGTGGTGCTTGCGATGAAATTGCATTCAAAACATCAAAACAAACATGCTCTGATAATATCATAAATATATAGGCATTGTCTTGGAAACTGATTGGTCCTCACAGGGGACAGCTTTCTAAGTGAATTAATCGCCGGAAAGGGACAAACATAGTGTCATATGTTGATCCTGGCACACCCCGAGAGAAAATTTCCCTGATATTGCGGTGTTTGTGTTTCGCTTGCTCATTATAAGTACTCTGTGCTGTTAATGCAGTGTCAGGATTCCTTGACAAAAAAAAATCTGTTTGGTGTTTTAACGTCCTTAACACGACCGTTTTAATTCGCCAGAAAGGGTAACAACAACAACACCAACAACCCACACCTATTGTTAAATTTTGATACTGGCTAGAAATCTTCCCGTTTTCTGAACCGTGAGAAGCTTTCTTTGGTGTTCGCTTGGGGTTTGTGTTTGGGGCGCGTTTGCGTCTTACGAAAATCCCTCTCGCCGTCGCCTGCATCACCGGCGCCTGTAACAGAGAGGAGGGTGGATGGTGACGAAGATGGGGTGAGGTCGCGTACATTTTAAAACGTTGCTTCGTAAAACCCACGCACCGCCATCCGAGCGCCGATGCCGGTTAGTAAAACAAAAAGGTGGTTTGTCACGTAAACAAAACACGTTTACATTTGGACCTACCCGTCCGGTGATCAACAACAACAACAACAACGAGCATCAGCAGCAGCAGCAGCAGGCGACAGTCACAGAGTTGGAGAGAGAAATCCTCTAGCGGCGGCGACTCCTTGAACTCGAAGCTTTTCGTGACTGCAGGAATTCGTGATTTTATGGGTCTTTTGGTAAAAATTCACAGTAGATGGGCTTCGATCGCAACACGAGCGATCGTTATCAGGATGACGACGATCGCTTGTGTTGTGATCGAAACACGTCGTAAGTTTTTTTTTTGTTCACTAAATTTTCATTAATTTCAACCGATATCCTTGGTGCTTTCTCTAGTCACGTAGCAGGGAAACAATAAAATAATAAAAATATAAAAACAATTTCCCTTCTACGTGACTTTACACCACTGTTATATTCTTGGTGCTTTCGGTAAAGCCACGTAGAAGGAAAACAATAAAATAATACAAATATAAAACAATTTCCCTTCTACGTGACTTTACACCACTGTTATATTCTTGGTGCTAAAGTCACGTAGAAGGGAAACAATAAAATAATACAAATATAAAACAATTTCCCTTCTACGTGACTTTACACCACTGTTATATTCTTGGTGCTAAAGTCACGTAGAAGGGAAACAATAAAATAATACAAATATAAAACAATTTCCCTTCTACGTGACTTTACACCACTGTTATATTCTTGGTGCTTTCGGTAAAGTCACGTAGAAGGGAAACAATAAAATAATAAAAATATAAAACAATTTCCCTTCTACGTGACTTTACACCACTGTTATATTCTTGGTTCTTTCGGTAAAGTCACGTAGAAGGGAAACAATAAAACAATAAAATTCTCACGACGTTTCGACTGCAACACAAGCAATCATCATCAGGTGTGAAAACCACAGCAAGAAAATCAGGTGTGGTTTTCACACCTGATGATGATTGCTTGTGTTGCAGTCGAAACGTCGTCGTGATAATTGTATTGTTCTATATATATATTTTTTTAATTGTTTCCCTTCTACGTGGTGACTTTACCGAAAGAACCAAGAATATGAATCCCTGCAGTCACGAAAGCTTTGAATCAAAATGTAATTGCAACCTATCGACGTGACTTTTACCGGAAGCCCCAAAGCGAACACTCCTCCGCGTTCTCCCGGTCTCTTCTTACGCGAAAAGGCAAAAAACGAAACACGATTTTATTTTAAAGAGAGCGACCCGGCCGGCAGGAAGTATGATGACGAGGATGATGGCCATGATGAGGATTTATGCACAATTCCGTGCGAGTCGCCTGATAAAGCTGGTTGTGGTTGTTGTGGTGCTGCAACAACAACAACAAACAACAAACAACCAGCTTCATCGGACACTCGAATTGTTAAATGTCGTCGTTGATTTTTACGCTCCGACGCGCAAGCGGTCAAAGCGCCGAACCCGTGAACTTTAATCGGACTTACGTTCTGACTAAATCTGGCCCGGGCCGGGTGATTGCGGGTCTAGCGACACAACATCTGCGTTTACCACCATCTCGAAATCTGACCTCCACCCCATTAACCAACCCAACCAACCCCACCCCGCTCCATAAACCCCCCCCCTCCACAACCTTCATTCCGCATTTATCTATTTAACTTTTTTGAAGCCGGACATATCTTGGGGCGGGGGACGTTGGAGGGAATTGCCGTTCGTGTTTATTGACTTCGAGCGCCGAGTAAGGGTTTGCCGCGTCTCCTCTGCCCCTTGTCGGGACGCCTCGACCGGACTCTGGTGACGTGGTTGACAACTTAACACCGTAGTAGTAGCAGCAGCAGCAGCAGGGCTTTCGCCACCAATAATGTAAATATTGTGTCGTTAAACCCGCCACCACACGACCACACAGCCCAATTAGTCAGGGGGTTTGTCACGTAAACAGAACGTGCCGATTAGTTACTAGTGGAGCACACACCGCTGGTGTGTTGGAGAGTAAACCCACTACAACATTTACAATCTTAGTGTAGTGTATAGTAGTTTATAGTGTGTAGTGTAGTGTGTAGTGTAGTGTATAGAGTAGTGTATAGTAGTGTGTAGTGCGTAGTGTTGTATACTAGTTCAGTACGAACTGGTTGTGTGTTGGAGAGTAAACCTACTTCAACATTTACAATTCGAGTGCCGTGACCTTTCACCAGCAATAACAACAACAACAGCTCCAGAATCATCCGGCGACAGCCACAGATTTGTGTCCGGCTGTCCGGGTGGTGGCGGGTTTAACGACGCATTTATACTCACGCCATCTCACCCCATAAAAACCTCCATCATGGGGTGTGAGGATTTGTTGGCCAAGCACCTCCATCCACCCCCCCGGGACCGCCTTTGTCTCTCTCCCCATCCACCACCACCACCCACCACCACTGCAATGCTGCTGGTGATTCTTCCCAGGCGGCTTTGTGCCACCTGTGTTTGTTGGTCGTGCGGGGTGGCTAGCTATCGCTGCTGCTGTGCTTTGCAGCGCTTCGAGATCCTCGAAGGAGCGCCCGCTCTACAGATGGAATCGTCGTTATTATTTTTTTTATTTCACATCGGCCGCCGAGTTCCGTGGGGGTAGCTGCTCCCCCCCCTCCCCTCCCACCCCTCCCACCACCGCGGCTTGACCAGGCGAGACGAATTCACGACGGCGCTTGCGCCAGGCTAGGTGCACCTGGAATAGAAGCCAATGGATCCCCCCCCCCCCTCCACGCCACTCTCCGCCGCCCAGCCTGTAAGAGTCCTCGTTGGCTAGCGGCACCCTGCGATGGGCCGCCACTTGGGCAGCGCGAGCGGTTGCGGGGATTGGGCGGCCGAGCACGCCCGGCCGCCTTTGTCTCCCCGGCGGCGACGTTGTTCGCGAACGTGCGCCGCACCGGGCGCTCGAGCTAGGGGCAGGAGCGCTCGGGGACCCCCGGCTGGGATCATCGAGCGTAGGCTCAGAGCCGCCGGGACCAACGCTCCCCGCCTCGAGTCCCAACCCCTGCGGCCTTGACGGACTGTAGGGGGCAAGTGCATGGAGCACGAGTGGGGGTGGGGGGGGTGGCCAGCAACCACGCCCGGCCGCCTTTGTCTCCCCGGACCGCCCCCCCCACCCACCCACCCCGTGGCGGCGGCGATGTTTTTAACGCACCGCACCGGGCCGAGCCGACCGAGGGGAGGCCCAGGACCGGTTCAGACAATCGTCAGCCGGTGTTGGCCGCGGGCGGGTAATCGAACTCGGCTCGCCGGGTTCGCGGCGCGGCGCTAACCGCTGCGCCACCGCTCCCGACGATGACGCGCGCCCGGCACACAGAGACATCCGCAAGACCCCGGGGTCTTTGCGGTTGATGCCGTAAGTCGCCTCTTAATAGTCCGGCTCACTGCGAATAATCGCTCGTCCGCTCCGGCTAAGTGCGAGTATCGATTTGCTACTTGTTGAAGTGTGTCCTTATAGCCCACTACCCCCCCCCCCACCTACC